GGAAGCAGTGCACCAAGGTGATCACTTTATCAACTTGTTTCTGGGTAGGAAGCAGTGCACCAAGGTTATCACTTTATCAACTTGTTTCTGGGGGTAGGAAGCAGTGCACCAAGGTGATCAATTTATCAACTTGTTTCTGGGTAGGAAGCAGCGCACCAAGGTGATCACTTTATCAACTTGTTTCTTGGTAGGAAGCAGTGAACCAAGGTGATCAATTTATCAACTTGTTTCGTGTTAGGAAACAGTGCACCAAGGTGATCAATTTATCAACTTTGTTCGTGGTAGGAAGCAGTGAACCAAGGTGATCAATTTATCAACTTGTTTCGTGGTAGTAAGCAGTGCACCAAGGTTATCACTTTATCAACTTGTTTCTGGGGTAGGAAGCAGTGCACCAAGGTGATCAATTTATCAACTTGTTTCGTGGTAGGAAGCAGTGCACCAAGGTGATCAATTTATCAATGCTTCTAAGTTATTCTAATTAAGGCAGTAATTGTAATAATTATGGAACATGATTTGCAGCAAATATAAATCTTACAAAAAGCATATATGTTTTCAATGTGTTTAAAATGAGACTGGGTATGATATCTTAAATTACTGTATAAATCATTTTCTCAAAGCAGCAACATCTGTTCAACAGAAACTTTTGTGAACACTTACGTCTACAAAACCTCCATTCTCTTTAACACACAGATAGAGTCGATAAAGGTCCAGAGGCTGCTTGCTAATCGTGGGACATTGGTTCAGGGGAGTTCCACGCTCCTCGCCAAACATGATCAACTTGTCAAGAAACGTGTGACGTTCAGGGTCATCAGACAGATCATAAAGTTTCAGTAACCCATCAGGCCTCTGGAAATCAGAAAGAAAACCAGCTAGATCAAACAACCTAACAATGAAACATTGGGATACAAAAACTGCTACAGATCAAACTTTAAGAATAATTATCTCTTATCATTAAAGAAAATTAGAATAGTGTCATTAAGTGTAGGCACCAACATGCAGGTAAACTGCAGTCATACTGAGAAACCAAAGACAGCATGTGAAGAACAAAGCAAACTAAACCCAAATTTTACTATGAACATTTATAATTTTAATTGTTAGAAACAAACACATCAACTAGCCTCATCAACAATGGTTACTTAGAATAAAAAAATAAAAGCTCTACCTTTATAGTGTGATGTTCATATCCATGGCTGTTCACAGTCTGGAGAGGAACAATAGTTATCAATTGTTAGATAATTACTTTGTTAAAACACAACAAACGTTGAGTCAATTATCACTACATGTAATCATAAACTATTATAAGTACACTGACAAGTTCTACTAAACTGCTTTAAGAATGAGTTAAATTTTACAAGCAACTTACTACCTGAACTGTATTTTAATGAAACTTACATCCTAACACATGAAGGGTAGACCAAGCAGCTAGTAATACATTGTTTCAATGCATCATTAATTTATTATAAGTTAGTCAATATTGAACTGAAAGTTGCAATGAATAGGGAGACAGTGCAGAACACCTGTGTTTCACCTTCTATCCAGAAATACATGAAAACGTCTAAAGCAAAATCATTTCTTGAAACGTGACTGAACTTGAATACAAGTAGCAATTAAAAACACCAGAAAGTCGAGGTCAATTATCATGCCAGACATGATATATTACTCACAGACCACTGAATGACACAGGCATTAACATATTTTCCTGACATTTCCGTCACCTTGCTATAAAATACTGGACATAAGGCATTCTTTGATTTGAAAGATCGATAAAAAGAGGACTGTGTTAACTATTTTAAAATGAGAAAACAAAAACCAGCATTCATACCTGTTTTAACACTTAGTAGCTGTTAAACTTTAAGATATTGTAGATATTATTATCTTTAAAATTAAACCCAGTTTGGCCATAAATATAGTTGGTCATAAGCTAAAGCTACTATTACTCTATTTTACTGATAAAATGTTTGCTTCATAATAACAAGAACGGTTAATTTGATGTTGTTAAAAAATCTGCACTAATTTGTTATTAAGCAGAAAGCTACACAATGGGCTATCTTTCAGACTTACTGTTGAGCTACAAGGGGGGCCACCTGTTTTAGTAGATAAATCTGCATCTTCAGCCAATTAATTTTACTAAAATATTACAAAGTAAACTCCAAACTAATTAATACTTCAGGCTAGACAAAAAACTCAACATTATTAGTACAGTGTACCGTACCTACAATTCACGATGTACGGCTAATTACTGGCATACATGCTTGCTTTACGAGTAAGACGTACATTTCATTTTAAATAACCAATTTTAAAATGCTGCAAAGCAATGAAATATTAATTACTATTTATATAATTATAAAAGACTGTGATACTGAATAAAACCATCTTTCTTTTTTAACATTAACTTCTGAAACTGACCTCTTCTTCACAAATGCTATCAACATTTGGCTTTTGTCAACTTTGTATGTGAGAAAGTTGAACCAATGATGCTGTAGCAAATTTAAAGTTGCACATTTCTGAAAACATAGCACGTCTTAATTGACACTCACTTTTCTACAAGAATACACCTTATAAAAATCACACACACTTTTTATGAAGTTATTTTAATACTTTAATCTATCAAACTATTAATTACACTTCTGAGTTATAACTACATTTTCCCCAAATTTTCATTCAAAAAATACAATTACAGACAATAATGCTTGGAGACGGCTTGAATGGGTAATGAAGATAAACTTTAATATAAGTTTTTCTTCATTACCCATTCAAGACATCTCCAAGCATAATTAGTCTCAAAGTGGGTTCCTCTTCATCTATTACAGACAATGGCGAGTTTATTTACATGATATCTACTGTGCATCTCAGACCACATGGTGAAGCTGATCTGAGCCTTAAGAATGCTTAAGATAAAGCTTTCAAGTTTTTTGAAGCTCTTTTATAAAGAATATAAAAGCTAACAAAAATGTTCACACAAATTTTTTTTTGAAATATCAGATAAATTAAATTGACATGAAACAGCCATGATGCGCTGTACTTACTGGGCTAGCGGGTGTTCTTGGCCAGCCAGGGCTTGACGCACCTTCAAGGTCATCATGAAAGGAGGACATTGATGTTGCATTAGGTGAAGGAAGAGGATTTGGTGTAGGAGGATGTGACATGGATATTTTGTGGTTTGGTTTAAAAGTTTCTCCTGCTTCTTCTGGTAAAGATGATGATCCAGATGCATTGGATGCCTGACTTCCTTCATCTAGAGCTGGTGAAGGGTTAGCTACAAACTGTAGCTTTCTTGACTCCTGTGATGTCATGAAAGGAGGAACCTGATGCTGCATCCGTTCTGTTGGAATAACTGCTGTTCCAGAGACAGTAACAGTAGATGATGTAACAGGACTACTGACACTTTGGTTTACTGTAGTGTGGATTGCAATAACAGTTAATACATTAACAATGAATTGTTTTGGAACTATATACATACATATATATGTATATATACTATAATTCAAGGTAGTTTCACTTCAAGATGGGGATATACCATAAACTGAATGCTTTCTTTTTTACCAAACTGTTTTTTATCTAATCAATCAGTTTCATAGCATCAAAGAGTGCTCTTCAGTATAAGAACTATAGAAGCCAGGAAACAATTTAACACTTATTGAAAGGTACGGAAATTTAAGTTTAAAATTTATATAAAGTATGTTTTATTTTTCTGTTTAAATTTCTTTCTTTATTATATTTTTAGATTCCTATTTTTTTTTAAAATCTCAGGTTACAAAATAATCTTATTACTAACAATTTAAATCCAAGCCTAATTCAAACAAGTCTCTGAATTAACATCCACATTAAAATATTGTTAATGTTAGCAATAAAAATTAGTATAACACAATATGTGAATCTTACAGACTACAAAACATTGGATGGTGTGTATTTCTCCCTATCTCTCTCTATATATACACACACACACCACACACACACAGACAATGCTTACTGTGTCTTATAGCTGCAAATGTTAAAAGAAAAAACCTCAAATACAAGTAGCTGCTGTATACTACTTGGAAGTTTCCAATTCATGTTGCCCGATGCCTGGGACAACAAGTTTTGTATCAGGGACAAAATTTTCCATTTCACAAGTAGTATTTATGTGAATTATATTTTTATGACTCTTTAATAAAACTTTGATATTACCACATCATCCTGCTACATACATAAAACTACATTCTGTACTACAACATGTATATAATTAAAAGAATAATGGGTGTTCATGCATAAATGAATTTTGGAGTAAGGAAGTACAGACAATGTCACCATGTGCATCAGACTGTTGAGTTTTAACATCTGGGTTTTGAAAGAGTCACTAGATCTAATGTCTTTTAGAAGGTAAGTCAATTGGTTTCTTACTTCTGATCAGACCATATGGCTCAATGTCTTTTGTATTAGACACTTGATGGATATCATGTTATGGAACAGGTTTAACCCACTTACGTTTAATTTGTAGTCAGTTAGATGTCCCACACAGCCATCAGCTTTATTCAAAACTATATTTACCTAACCTTATATGCGAGTAGTCTAGGCAGATCACTTAAACAGTTTTAATTACCTTGTGTATTCCTTAATAAACCTTGTGTATTCAAATACAAAATATCATAAACACAAAAAATATTTTGCATGCAAAACACAAGTTTTCCCCCTAGTTAATATATAAAATACAAAAAATACTGTAGTGACAAGAACTTGAGGGAAGCTCAGAAGTTCACTGTTGTTTACTGTTCCTGTGTGTTGAATATGTTCTGTTTGCTGGTCAGATGTATGCATGTTGTCCGTGTGATGAAAGAGTGAGGGCATGTCTTAAGAGTGGATATGTTGGTCACATTTCTGTATGTGTTTGGAAATGACAGGTTGCAAAGGGTATTTTGTTGAAGTTAATAAAAAGAATTAAACAGTAAAAATTTATTGCTTGCACCAGAAAAGATCAATACATTCTATTTGGTAAATTACACTATAAAACAACACAGTGTCAACACAAACCTTAAACCACCTCACACCAGTTTGTGAAGTAAATGATCTACCTATATAGTCTGACTGGTAAAAGATAAATAAACAAATACTGTCTATACAGTAAATAAACAAATACTGTCTATACAGTAAATAAACAAATACTGTCTATACAGTAAATAGACAAATACTGTCTATACAGTAAATAAACAAATACTGTCTATACAGTAAATAGACAAATACTGTCTATACAGTAAATAGACAAATACTGTCTATACAGTAAATAAACAAATACTGTCTTGATAATTTGATGTATACATATATTTCATCTTGTCAAATGCCATTAACTACAGAACGAAATGAGATCAAGAACAGAAAAACAGTCTGTGGGAAGACAAAGTGAAATACACTATACAGTTCAAAATGATGAAAATAACTAGTTTAACATGTAATTTATATATAGCTACGGTAAAGAAACCAATTTGCATATAGGAATTAACGTATGGCGACTTTCATCCCAGTGCAGATATCTAATTTCTTTCTGTCCCTTGCATCTAAAACAATGTTCACTCATACTTCATTACTCAGAAAACATGCTTTAAAATCCCTTCAAAGTTTCTTTCATCACCACCTGACTGTTTTAAACCAATCAGAACACAAAAGTTTTGTACTCTAAAAAAAACTAAAAAGTTCAAAACAGAAGTGAAGCATAAAACATTAGAACTCTATCTTAAATGGAAAGGATAAGTCATCTATGAAACATTAGAACTCTATCTTAAGTGGAAAGGAAAAGTCACCTATGAAACATTAGAACTTTATCTTAAGTGGAAAGGATAAAAGGATAAGTCATCTATGAAACATTAGAACTCTATCTTAAGTGGAAATGATAAGTCACCTATGAAACATTAGAACTTTATCATAAGTGGAAAGGATAAGTCATCTATGAAACATTAGAACTTTATCTTAAGTGGAAAGGATAAGTCATCTATGAAACATTAGAATTCCATCTTAAGTGGAAAGGATAAGTCATCTATGAAACATTAGAACTTTATCTTAAGTGGAAATGATAAGTCACCTATGAAACATTAGAACTTTATCTT